GGAATTGGAGACAGACGGGAGAGCTTCTTCATTTGGTCAGAAGTTGGAGCACCCTTATTAGGCAGAAATGAGCATCAACTATTTATTGAAACCAATTTTATGTATACCTTGGGATCTTCCTAAGGGTCACAAATGGATGTTTAGCAGTCATATTACATTAAATCTGAAACATTAATTCACTTTTTATTGCTGTTGTTGTTGGTCATGGGACTTGTACTCTGGAACTGGGTACTGTCCTTGACCTTTTATGCTCAAGGCTAGTGCTCCCCATTTTACCACAGTACCACTTCTGATTTTCTGGTGGTTAATTGGAGATAAGAGTCTGTCAGGGCTGGTTTCAAACTGCAACTCTTAAGATCTTATCCTCCTGAGTAGCTAGGATTACAGGTATGAACCATTGGTGCCTGGCTTATTCCATTTTCTTTGTATTGTTTCTTGCCTAGAATCTGCTACACAGGAAAATAGTTGTTTTCACACATTGTACCTGTACAGGTGTTCACATATCACTCGTCACATGGAGAATAGTGGGCTCACAGATGATTTCACTGCTGTATCAAACGGAAGGAGGAAATCCTCATATAAGATTGCAAGTGGAAATGCAGAAAATGGCTGGTGAGTGACAAAGGGGAACTTTTTCTGCTGCCCTTTCCATAATCCTCTTTAAATGAGATAGGGTAACATAGAATTCAAACACATCTACTACAGAATAGGTACCTGAGAACACATCAATTTTCAAGGGGAATCTTGTTTTCTCAGAATCTCTCAGGAACCAGGTACTGCTGGCTCACTTCTATTATCCTAGTTAGTCAGGAGGCTGAGATATGAGGATCACAGTTCTAAGCCAGCCCAATCAGATAAATCCAAGAGACTTTCATCTCCCATTTACCATAAAAAAGCAGAAAGTAGAGTTGTGGTTTAAGTGGTAGAGTGCCAGCCTTGAGCAAAATAAGCCAAAGGAGGGCACCAGGCATGAATTCAAGTCCCAGCACTGGCACATTAGAAAAAGGAAAGAAATCCACCCCACAAGAGAGGAAAGAAGATGTTTTATCCAATAGGCAACAGTTGCTAATTTTCCCGAGGAAGTACTGTGTAAAAGTTTCTGGGAGAAAGCATAGGAGTACGTCCACATTTTCTGCTGGCCTTCCTGAGCTCAAAGGAGCACTACTCTCCACTGTAGCACATATGTTGTTTCTGGATATTTGAAAGTCATTCTAAATTTCCATGCTTCCTAATTCCTTTCAATTGCATGCATAAGCAAAAACTGATACATCCTGTTTCAAAGCTAGCTAAAGAAAAAAGCTTGGAGTAGCTAATTTGATAGAGTTCCTGTCTAGCAAGTATAAGGGCTTGAGCTCAAAACCCACAAAGCACTACACATAAAGTAGAAGAGGTTAGTGAAGGAGGGACACTCAGTTGATTAATGTCTCAGTGCCCAAGGCTTGGGAAGTCCCAGACCTCAAACTTCTTCCTTACAACTTTTCACATATTCGGTAGTGAGGCGTCCTGTCACAGATACCATTTCATTGTTTGACAAAAGGTCTCCCACAATTTTAGCTCAAGCATGCCTCAAATAATGATCCTCCCATTCTCAGGCTCCTGAGGAGGTAGGAATTTAGATAGCAGCCACTGTATTTTGTTCCTCAAGCATGCCTTCTATATGAGGGAAAGTTGCAAGTCATAGTTTTAGTCTGAGATTATTATTTTTTTGTCATTTGGGGGGCTTGAACTCGGCCTGGGCACTGTCCCTGGGCTCTTATGCTGAGTGCTAGTACTTTCACATTGAGCCACAGCACCACTTCCAGCTTCTTCTGTGTTTAATTGAAGAGAAGAGTCTCACAGACTTTCCTGCCCTGGCTGGTTTTGAACTGCAGTCCTCAGACCCCACCTTCATGCGTAGCTAGGATTACTGATCTGAGCAGCTGGCAGCAGGCTTAGTGTTAACTTCTTAAGAGGGATTCAGACTCTGAGAGACTCAGGCAGGAGAGGCATCTACAAGGTGAACAGTAGAAATCCTACTATCAAAGGAGTAACCTCAGTGTCAGCTGTTGCCCAACATTCCACCCCTCCCCCAGTCTCCCCTTCAGATTCCTGTGACCATGGAGACAGTTTTGAACACTAACTTGCAGAGGAGAGGCTGTTTGTCTAAGGTGCATCCAGGAGAGAGAAGTTGATCAGCAAAAGCCCTGATTCAGGTAGAAAATCATAAAATAAATCAACAGTGTCGCTTCTTTCACACTTTCAGTCCTGAACCCTGAGGAATATCAGGACAGTTGAACACTCTACCACCATGTATGCCTTTAACACTCACCGACCCAAGTGTGAAAATAACAGCCTTAGTCTAGGGGTGTTGTATAGAAGAGATCTTTGGATATCTGAGGGGGAACTGAGTAAACTTTAAGCTACTTGGCAGATCCCCAGAACATCTATACTAACCTTTGTTCTCAGCCACACTCCTCAGGGCCTCTGGTTAGGTGAGGAGTCTACCTTTTTTCACTCTTTCCTACCACATGGGACACTGAGAAAATCTTTGAAGACACTGGTATGGAAAGAGCAGGACTCTGTCAGGCCTATGTCAGTGGTTCACACATTCCTGGTGGACATGGGTCTGGGACAGTGACTTGCACCATGGAGTGATAAAGGAAATGAAGGCCTTGGTTGATCAGGGCCAAGACTTTTAAGGACAGGAATTTAGACTCAATTAAAGGGAAACAGAGAGGAAGTCTGCCCTTGCTGTCAGTCCAGGGAGGCCCTGTGCTATCTGATCAAAGTAATGATGTCAGACTTACCTTTCTAGGTTATAGAGAGTTAAGGATTAGGTAGACAGATAAATCTCGATTATAACAGACTGATGGTCCAGATACTGGCCGAAATCTCAAGATGAAGACTGAGGAGCACTTCGGAGTCCCTAGAAATAATATAACCCACTTATGTGGTAACCCTATGGAAGCCCCAATCAAGTCATCAAACTACTGAGTCTTTACTTCTAAATCCAAGGGGTGGGATAATTCTTGACTCCCTAGTCAAGCTGAAATATCAGAAAACACCAAAATGCCCTCATTCTCAGACTGAGTCTTGTTCTTCCTCCATTTGTCAGGGAGGTGACTGGTTTGGTGAGAGGTATGGAGCTTCTCCCTGGATTACAGGGGAGGACTTAGGTAGGAATGCTAGGATGTCACAGGTCAGATCAGAGGTAGACCTCCACTCCCTGGCCATCCTGGGGAGGCCCAGCACAGCATACCTAGATCCAGGGCACCTTCACTTTAGCCTCTTAGGCTCATTTCCAGGAGGAGTGGAATTTGTTCTACAGAGTATGTCCTCTGCCCAGCAGAGAAGACCAATAGCTTAGAGAAGACCAAAGGCTCCTTTTCAAGATGTGGGGAACCTACTTACATTGTATGCCTGGGTGGCTCCAGGCAGCACTGTGGGGAAGAAATGGCACCAGTACTTTCTCAGGATAGGCAGGGGGATAAGGAAAATGTCAGTTCTGTCCTGCAAGATGTATCTGGAGATAAAACGAGTGATTATAAATACCTTGAGAGACCCCACACAAAAGAAAAGCCCTGGATCTCACTCCATTTGTCAGTCTTGAGAAATTTTTGCTGGGTGTACACATGAACTTTTTTTATTGCGAAAATCTCATACAGAGGGGTTACAATTACATGGGCAAGGTAATGAGTATATTTCTTATCAAGCATTGTTGCCTCCTCCTTTGTTTTCCCTTCCCATCCCTTCCCAATTTTTTGCCAGTCCTGGGGCTTGAACTCAGGGCCTGGGCTGTGTCCCTGAGACCTTTGTGCTCAAAGCTAGTGCTCTACCACTTGAGCCCCAGAACCACTTCTGGATTTTTCTGTGTATGTGGTACTGATGAATCAAACCCAGGGCTTCATTCATGCTAGGCAAACATTCTACCATTAAGTCACATTCCCAGTCCCTGAACTGTTTATATACTTCTGTCTCCCAGGAACCAAGGAACTGAAGCTTCCCACTGAGGGAAATCAGCTGAACAATGTGGCCAGAAAGAGGGAGTGTCTAGAATCAATCTGGAGTTAAGGTGAGGACAGGTATAAACCCCCACTCACACATATGGGACTTGACTGCAAACCTTCCCTTCCTTTATCTGTGAGAAAACATAGAAAGCATAGCTGCATTCATCTCCCTTTAAATCTTTAAGTTTTCTCACAGAAATATGTTTCTGGTTTGGAATTGTGGACTCAGAGGGAAATTTCCCAGACTGGTATTTAAAAAGGTGAAGACTGAGCTAATCCTCCACCCACACTGCATGAGGTCACCTTTATTTTTGTCCCTGGTAACATGTGATGACCTCTTACTGCCTTTTTTCCATTATAAGGAGATGTAAGTTTGCCTTAGGCCCACAGAGAGTAGTCCAGACATCTCCAGGGGAACTTTGGGCACCCAGGGTGAGTTCAGTAGAGACTGTTTATTGCAGAACATTGAAGAACTTGCAGTCTACCTCCCCCTCACTGTCAAGCCTGGAGGCACCATGTTGTCCTTGCATGCTGGAGCCCAAAGGAGAAAGAAGTGTGTCTCACAGACTACTGTACACACTGTAGGGACCAGGAGGTGAAAGTCCTGGCCTGAAGTAGTGCCCGCTTGTAATCAAGCAGAAAATTCTCTGCTAGTGTCAGAATTTAAGACTGCAGTGCAAATGGCAACATATGCTCCATCCACAACACAGAATTCCACATTACTCAGTACTATACGCCCTACCAGCACCCCAGAGACTCAGACTCACAATACCTTGTGAGTTGTTGAGTTGATCCCTGATTTTTACAACTTCATGTAGCAGACACAAGAGAGAGATAGGAACCTATGTCTCCCTAAAGCACCAAAGGGAAGATCAGTAGTAAGTCTTAAGGAAGCTGCCAGGCGGAACATTCCCAGCTGAAACTACTTCCCTGCTTTCTCTCTCACAGGCCTAGGAGTCATCACAATCGAGCTCTTTTCCACCATCATACTTGTTATCTGGAAAGACAGCCATGATGCCTTATACTTTTCCCTCTGAGTTTGAGAGAGGCTCTCAGGCCCAAAGAGAGGCCACAGGCCTGGTGCATGAGCAGGTCCCCCAGGCCGAGGAGGCTTTTACTTGTCTGATGCCCCCTACCTTAAGGGAAGTCTTAGAAGATCTCCTGGATGAGGCAGTTAGGGAGATTAATGAAGAAGATCAGGAATCCAGTGATCAGGCAAGGGATCTGTACCTCCATGATGACAAGACAGTGCATATGGCCCTGCGGAAAGAAGCAATATCATTGGTACCATACCTGCTATATAAGTATTGGTCAAGCCGACCAGTTACTGAGATGGAAATGCTGAATCGTATCACAGGAGGTTACCAGCATTACTTCTCTGTGATCTTAGACAAAGCTTGTGTATGTATGCAACTGCTGTTTGGGATTGAATTGAAGGAGGTGGACCCTATTGTCCACACCCATGTGCTTGTTATAGCAGCAGGGATCACTTATAATGGTATTTTGAGCCATGTCCTTGGCATGCCCAAGACAGGACTGTTGATAATCATTCTCTGCATCATCTTTACAGAAGGCAATTATGCCACAGAAGATGTCATCTGGAAGGTGCTTAGTAGGATGGAAGTATATCCTGACAGAGAACACTTCCTTTATGGAAACCCTAGGAAGTTGCTTATGGAAGATTTTGTATGGGAACAATACCTAGTATACCAACAGGTGCCTGGCAGTGATCCCACTGTCTTTATGTTCAGGTGGGGCCCGAGGGCTTATGCAGAAACCACAAAAATGAAAGTCCTGGAACACTGGGCCAAGTTCAGCAGAATTGACCCAAGGTCCTTTGCATCGCTCTATGACGAAGCTTTACGGGAAGAAGATGGAGAAAATACCCATGATGATACTCTTTAATAGAAGAGTGACTTTTCCTAATTTTAAAACCAGTTTAGAAATCAGTTCCACATTAACATCTCAGTGGGATAGGGATTTCCCTGAAAATGATCTCTGTAACCTCAAAAAATAAATATATTGCTCTTGAATTTACTTGGCTATTTGTTTATATCAGGGAAATTATAATTGAATAATAACTCCCATAACTCAATGCCTGATTTCTTCTACAATCCTTTATTTTACCATCTACTCATGGTAACATCTTTAATTAGTACACAATTTGGTAGAGTTTTAAGCAACAGGCATACCAAGAAAATATAGATTGAAATGAACTCTGGGAAATAGAAACAAAAACGTTTTTTCTTGTTTGCTTTTTTTCTTCCTTTGGTTGGTTGTTTATCTGTTTTGGGGAAGGCAATGTGGGCTCAGAAAGGGTGGGACAAAGGGTGAACAAATGCAGCAGTGGTACTGATGTGTGTGGGGGGGGATCAGAGGGCAAAACTGGGAGAGAGTGAAGGAAAGGATGACACTTTCCAAAAAGAAATCTATTGTTTATCTGACTTATATAACTGTAATTTGCCTGTACATCATCTTAACAATAACAATAAAGTTCATAAAAAGAAAACATTTATGACGACTGCCAGTGGCTCATGCCTGTAATCCTACTCAAGAAGTTGAGATCTGAGATTAGAATTTAGAAGCCAACACAGCAGGAAAGTCCTTGAGAATCATATCTCAAATTAACCAAAAAAAGATGAGGGTAGAGCTGGAAGTATAAAAGTGAGGGGCAGTGCCAAGAGCCTAAGGTCAAGCCCAAGCTGGCATACACAAATATGAAGTTATATAATTTGTAGAAAAATAGATGGAACATGTTTGAAAGGAGTCAAATTGAGAATGACCAATATTGCATCTTTTCTCCAATATACATAATCTTCTCCACCACCAATAAAACACAGAAGGACAAATGCTAACTGTAAAATGAGGACTGGTTAGGACAACCAGTGGCAAATGATAGTTAAATGATAGGGTGATATTGGAATATGATAGGAGGGCAAGATATGAATATATGAAAATAGATCAATTCAGATCAGTTTTTAAAAAATAAAAACAACGAACAGTGACTTGAGTGGGGAAGCAGTTTGCAGAGAGAAATGGAGCTAGTCTTTCAAATTCTAGGAACTATCATTCTAAAAGATTATTCACAACCAGATTTGCAAAGTGATTTCTAATGGAGGAACTTTTCCTGAACTTTGTGACAATTCATTTTGGGTTCCTGTCCTCCGGACCTGCTTGTCCTCTGATAGATCCTGAAGAAGAATGACATGAACAAGATCCCCACGTGGAAAGGGCTGGGGTGAAATGCCATTAGAAATGACTGCCTCTGCCATTCACTACAGCTCCAGCACTCACAAGCATAACTCACTTCTTGAAGTTAGCAGAGGAAGGCCACAGACACACACCGCTGCTGCTCAAGTTGAGGGTATAGGAAGGGACTGAGATGACCTGTACAGGGCTAGGCCCTCCCTTGCTGTGAGCCTTCAGAGGCACTAAGATAGAAGACCAGGCAGCTGCTTTGTGACATCTACATCAGACTCTAAGAGAGATTAGCTGTTTAATAGACAGGGCTCTGCTCCAGCTGAGTAGTGAGGTGCCTATCATATAGGAAGTAAAGAGGCAATAAGCCAAACTGAATGTTCCAGGTCCCAGTATGGATGAGGTACACATGTGTTCATACTTTCAGACTCATGGTTAATTATCCAGTAAGTGGTCCTTGCCTATCCAAGGATCTCAAGCAAATACAAATTCCAAGATCACCTTCACCAGACGCAGTTGGTGAGGGACTTATGAAGGTGCTCACCTGACTGCATACCCAGGTGAAAACAGAGGTTTAGGTAGGTTACATGATGTCTGTCCATAGGAGACAGTGTGTGTCTTCTTATCATCTGCTTCCACATGGATCACTACAAAGAATTGGGCTATTCCTTTTCAAGGCCCTTGTTGTTCTCAGCGTCTTGAGGCTAAAGGGAGACATGGTTAGGAATGTATTCCATTCTCTAGATGATCCATGGTGCGTTTCTGAACACGTGAGTGCAGCTGAAATATTGAGAATCATCTACCTATATTCCAGGACTTCTCTGCTCACACTTCAGAATTTTCTCTTACCTTTACCCCACAGAGAGATCAATTATCCCACTTCAAGAACCTCAGACCAAGACTGTGACCCCCAAGATCCCCTGGGCCAGTCCAGCTCGATACTTTCTATAAGCCTTGAAAAAGTGTCAATGTAGGGTGACTACTCAGCTGATTCCTAACTTCTGTGTATGGGTTTGGTACAAAGAGCCCTGCCTCAAGAAAAGATTAGGGCAACATCCCATGAGGAGTCCAGGTGAGATATGAGACAAAACTAAGGCTGACACAACCTAGTGCAGATGAAGTCCCAACTGGCCCTTAATTTTAGGATGAGTCTTATTCTTCATCCTATACTATAACCTGGGGGATATTTACCCAGGTCACAAGAAGGTAGAATCCTGTCTAGAGTCAAGTGAAAGACTCAAGAATAAAGGAACAGAGATACTGCAGCTTCAGATGATTAGAGAGGCATTTCCATACTACTATCAACCATGGAAACAAAAGGGAACTGTGGCCTGATTTAAGACACCTTCACTTTTGCAATTAGAATTTGTGTCAAAGAGTATGATGACTTGATCTTATGAAGGAAGCCCCTTTAGAGTAGAACCTTATGTGAGGATAAAGGGTATCCCTAGTTGCTTTGTATGTCCCTCCCCCACAGTATAACCCCTGCTTTCACTATATTTGATGTCAGTATAACTTGTGGAGGAGATGGGGAAAAACCAGTGTTTAAGGATACAGGTGGACCTGTTGCAACAATGAGAAGTACAAGTTGTCATGTCCAAAACGAGCTTTACAACGTGCGGGGGGGGGGGAAGGGGGGGGGAAGGAGAAGGATTGGGATTGGGGGGGGAGGGGGGAGGCTGGGAAGGGATGTGAAGGGTAAACAAAGGAGGAGGCTGCAATGCTTGGTAAGAAATGTACGCATTATCCTGCCCATGTAATTGTAACCCCTCTGTACAGTATGTTCACAAATAAAATAAAATTAAATTAAAAAAGAATAAATAACAAAGAATGAATGAAACTATAATTGAGATTGGAGGCATGGCTCAATTGGTAAAGTATTAGCCAATGAGTGAAAATGTCAAGTGTTTAATCTGAGTCCTGGTCTTAGATCTCAAAAAAAAGAGTATCTCTAATGCAGGATCCATGAAATAGATTATTCCCATCAACCCAGTGTGTTCCTGGCAGCACTTGTGGGGAAAAGAGCACCTTTGACTTCCTGCTTAGGGTTGGGGTGAGTGTCATAGAGCCGGTGGCCTTTGATTGTAAGAGGGATCAACAGAGGGAAAGTGTGCAGACCTCTTAAAGAGGAACTATGTATACCTTGACATTGTTGGAAAAGAGGGACACTGAGAAAAGCATGCTTGAGTGTCCACATGAACATGAAGAGGTTCTCCAAGCATGCAGCTACCTCCCAATTAACCTCCCAACTATCAGACCTGCCACAGGAACATTTTGTCAGGTGAACACCTTCATGCCCCCCAACTTCCTCTTTTAGCATCAGTGGATTCTGGGAGTAAGAGACTTGCTTTGAGGGGAGAAGATTGATTCTTGCAGTGGAATGGAAACTCCATTTGGAATCAATGGCAGGATCTTAAAGAAGATGGAATATCCCAAATTTGATTATTCCTGTGGTGTTTACCTTAGCTAGCCCCATCTGAGTGGCCTGGTGTACAGTCCCTTAATTTTGGCCTTAGGTCAAAAAGAAGAAAGGGTTTTCATTGGAAGGGACATAGTCAGGATCTTTAGAGAAAGAGACCTTAGACTCCAAGATAAAGAATATGCTGGGTGCTAGAAGGTCACACCTGTGATCCTAGCTACTCAGCCTGAGATCTGAGGATAGAGGTTTGAAGCTAGCCTAGGAAGAAAATTCTGTGAGAACCTTACCTCAAATTAACCACCAAAAATCTAGAAGTGAAGCTCTCTCTGGATCCAATTATTAAGCTCTAGTCTTGAGCAAAAAACCTGAGGGACAGTCACACACAGGACCTGAGTTCAAGCCTCACAACCAATCAAAAAAAATCCACCACAGACCACAGAATCCTGTACCTGGTGTGTTTCCAGGGAGGCCTCATGCCATGTGACCAGAAGTGTGATGCCTTGATATATACTCTGGGTCTGACAGGGCTTAAGGTTTGGGTAGAAAAAAACTGCTTTTGAATGTAGCAGAGATATCTGACACAGTTAGAAGTCAAGGTGAATACTGAGGGAGACCTAGAGGAAGATGAGGAGGCAGCTGATTGTCACGCATTATGGTCTGAGATGTGAGGGGTGTGGTGGAAAGAGCATTACTTCAGCAGAGGGATGGGGCCCAGGTCTAGACGGAGTCAGGTGAAATATCGGGCAACACTGAGGGGTCCAGCACCCAGTACAAATAGAGTTCAGCATTACCTCTACTTTTCACATGGAGTTCCATTCCTTACTTAACTCTGAAATCTGGGGGAGGAGATTCAGGTCCTGAGAGGGGCAAGGCTGTGTCTAGAACAAAGGTTAGGACTTAGGGAGGAATGAGAGACAGAGGACTCCTCCACATCCCAGCAGCCCTGAGAGGCCCAGGTCATATTGGCCTGATTCAAGTCATCTTTCTCTGTGTCTATGCCAGTACTGGGTCTTGAACTCAGGGTCTGGGTGCTATCCTTGAGATTTTTTGCTCAAGATTACCATTCTACCACTTGAGCCACAGCTCCACTTCTGGCCTTTTAGTAGTTAACTGGAGATAAGAGTGTCACAAACTTTTCTGTCCAAGCTCCTCAGATCTCTGCCTCCTGAGTCCCTAGGATTATAGCTATCAGCTATGGGTTCCGGGCTTCTTGTGATTTTAAGACTTGTCTCAGGAAGGGGTGGATCTTGTTTTGTGCAGTGTGTCCTTTTCTCAGCAGAGCCCTTAT